TTTTTAAAGATGTTATAATTAATTAATTGATCATTTAATATTGAAAGGCTCTTTTCTGGTATTGTGAAATACGGAAATTGAACATTTTTAGGATAAGGGGCACCAACAAAATGTTTATAATAATTAGGGTGGTATTCCTCATCATCATAATCACAGTCACTATCGCTATAGAAATCATATTGATCGTCTTCATAAAAATCATCCTCATTATAAATTTTACAATCTATTTTTGGTATTTCGACAAAAACAGACGCAATTTTTTTATTCATAACGGTGTCTAAGTCTACGCAATCGTTTGGGATATTTTGAAAAGAAATAAAAACATTGGGGTTGGACTGCAAAAAATCAAAAACAGAAACTACAAAGTCGTCGGAAGTTTTATTCTTGATAATCAATTTTTGAAGGTATTTAAATTTGATGTTGTCAACCATAAAATCGTCATCAAGTGTTATAACTATTTTCCTCACAAATTCGCAATATTTTTGAATGTAACAAAAACTGGTTTGTTGCACATTAACAGTAATAATTTTAGACAAAATCGACGCGGAATATAAGGAAGGAAGTATTTTAGTATTAGAAGTGTCCAACCAATATATTCTCTTAATCTGAGAAGGGGTAAGAGACTTTACGATATCAGAGAGGTTTCCAGTTAAAGTGTTTAAACGTGGGAAAAAGTTGAAAAGGAAATTGTATGTCAGGTAAAGTGATCGTGGATTAATTTTCATGCACCGAATAGCTTCAAGGCACTTTGATGAAACAAGACGTAAATTACGAAGGGTCCCTTCATTAATAGTGTAAAGAATGACGTTCATCAAGTACACCATCTCAAGTTTGATTGACATCACTTGTAATTTTTAAATTTTAATTATTGTGTTTCATTTAAATATCGTTTTTTTGCCAAAAAAACAATTTTGAGTCTTTTAAAAGATTTATTTATGTTGTTGAATCAATAATATTTATTTTGACGAGTTTTAAATAAAAATACAATTTAAAACCCACTCTTAACTCACCGACGTACCTAATCTACAACGAACCAATACTGTTAAAAAGAGCAGTGTTTTTGTTTTTTTTTGAAAAAAATATATATATATTATACAGTGTAGTTCAATTATAGTAAAATGAAAATGAAATAACGAGTTCAAATCGTGATCTAAAAAACAAATAATTTAGAAATAATTAAACAATAATATTTTTAGCAAAAACATAAAAAATAAAAAAATGTCAAAATAATAATACTGGTAAAATGCAAAAACATATATTCCAAAACAGATAAATACGTTTTTTATACAAAACAATAAAAAAAACAATTGGTTTTGAGTTGAAAATGAAAAATGAATTGCATTTTGAAGCATAAACACATCAGTGAAAATTAATGTAAACATATAAAATTTATGTACATACAATAATTTTAATAAAAATAATGATAACTTTTCAAAGAACCCATTATATTAACCGTGTATTTTTTCAGACAATACAATGTAGCAAGATTTTTGACTATTTTTGTCTGTCTGTTATGTATTTCAGCCCTTTAATATTCACAATAAAGCGACAAATCATTTGAAGAGTTTTTATCAAAAAATTCAAATTCGAACAAGCAATCATTAAAAACAGTTATTAGTGTCAAATCTATTATTATTTAATAACATTTTACTCAATTACATATAATCCAAATATTTTTATATTGTTGTCTGACTTTTTGTCAGATATATAAACTGTTTAGCCAATTGTTTGTAATGACTTTTGACACGTTATTGTATATAATTACATATTTTGAATAATATATTGAAAAAGTGTTTAAAATGAATAGGGTAAACCATAACAATGTTTTTATTTTTTAAAAATAATAAAAAATCAAACTTCTTTGTTTATCAATGATATTTTATTGATTTATTTGGTATATATTTTTAATTTTTTTAATTTTACATTATGAGTAATTTATCTTTTATTATCAATTAAGATGTATAAATTATTATTATTCTTTATATTTGGGTTGCTCAATAATCAATTGTAGATGCATCACTATTTGTAAAAGCTATGCATAATAATGTCGTTATATTGTTATGATATTTTACAACTATTTCAACTCTATCATTTTCATTGTAACACAGAAGCATGTTACTTATTGTTAATATCAACCACAAATATCAATTTGCGTCATTCAGTGAAAATAACCAATTTTTTTCTTATTACGACTATTATAATTTATTTGTTTTGTTAAACAAGAAATAGCAATTTTCACATTGGTTGGGTGTGCTTTTTATGATTGTCTTTGATTTTATGAATACTTTTTCAGAGTTGGCAGAAAATAGTCTATCTCGATAAGATTAACTATATTTTATTATGAACAACCATTTTTATTATTTATTATTTGTATTTTTATTATTATTAAAATTTATATAACTTTCGAGCAGGACACAAATTCAATTTAGATATTAAAACACCTTTTTGAAATTAAATACAGAAATTTTATATGTTAAAACCGTAAGTTACTACCATAATTTATCTCAGTTGATTTTACACATTGACACTTTCATATATAGATTGATTCAATTCATGGGTAGATTGCATGAGTGACAAAACTTTTAAAAACATTTGCTGCGTTTTGTGGGCTTCTTTAATATATTTAAAAGTTCAAATTTGTTGTTTAAAGTTAATTGTTTCAAAATGCTACATTTAAGTTTTTTATTGTTGAATTGTGTTGTATTTATTAAATAATAAATCAAATGATTAACTTGATAACTTTTAAATTCGCTTTCTTTTGAACTTACTAGATCATCATTTCAATTTTAAAAACAAACATCAAGTGGTCA